AAAACTTTCTTAGGATTGTGGCACGTGTAAAAGGTACTACTACTTTTACACTTAAGAAGAATTAAAGCTCTATCATTTCGTACCTCATGACGGAAGCTTAATTCTTTGAGCCACAATCCTAATGCCCCTCTGCAGGTTTTCCACAACCTCATAGAAATTGAGCGCGCCGCATAAATCTGGTCAAGAACCCAAATGTATCAAAAACGTATGTAAAATCGCTATTTCTCTTTTTTGAGCCATGACTACTTTCATTGATTTCGGGCCCTTCAGAGACTGCGTCTCACCTTTTAGGGTTTAGGATACAGCGCAATCGGCTTTGTGACTTTTTCCACATAGGATAAATGGGAGAGTCCATCTCGATCTTGCTCTGTGGCTCTTGATCAGACCTCTTGACTTTCAGGAAGCTGTTTAAGCCATACAGATCTCAACATTTGCTTGAGGCCAATATCCGGTCTTGATCTTTTGGGTGACACTAGCTCTTCCCCCTCTCTGTTTGTGGCACCCGGCACTGAGCGTCCCACCGGCAGATGGTGGTTCTCGTCAACGAGCCACTCAATGTTCGCACGCTTGCGAACGCAACCCTTGTGTTCTAAGTACTCGCACTCAAGTCGTGATGGTAAGTCAGCAAGATTTGATGGCGAAGGCACACGTGCGATCCAAATATGCGCCCTCGAGCTCTCTTCCAAGCACACGAATCTCTTGACCAACCTTTCGGAAACAGTGGAGCGCCCATAGCCTGCCAAGATTGTGAACCTCGCGGCATCATTGTCCAAGCACATGATAACTTGACGCTGCGCCAAAATCCTTTCCCACAATTCAAATCCGACAACGAGGGCCAGGATCTCGCACTCGAAGATTATCGTATCCTTTTCTTCACTGCCCAAAGCTTTTGTTTGCTGCTTCGATAATTCATGACTGAAATACTCCAATAGGGTTCCCGAAGGTCCTACCAGCACTCCTCCTACGCAAGCTCTTCCTTCTTCATAGCTGGCATCAGTGAGGAGCACGAAGTTTTCTTTTGACGCGACCGTTAGCTCACGATCTTCCCCTTTTTCGACGAAGTCCCGGAGGGCCTTGAGGTCTCGAAGCAAACTCGCGGAAACACAGCCTCCCCCGCCGTAGTACGCATGATCCACCAAGGAATGCATGGCTTGTCTTGCGGTTCTGCCAAAGACCTGGCTCTCCGCAAAGCCCATACGGCCCCTCAACTGCAAAGCTTTCACCCTACTGAGCTCCCCTAGCACCACAACCTCATCAATCATAGCAATGATCTCTTCTCTGCGTGAAACAGTGTTCCTTAACTTCATCTTGTACTCACGGCTCTCTGAAAAATCGATAGTAATGCCCAAGGCGTCAGCCATCTTTCCAAACTTCGTGGCCTTGGGACCCGAAGCATCGAATTTCCATCCCAGCAAACTCAACAGCGACTCGAAGGATTGATTTGTGTTGTGCGCCACAGAACTCTCACTCACAATGACATAGTCGTCAAAGAAATTTGTGGTAATGATCTTTAAGGCAACGGTCGCTATGTACCAAATCGCCCGGGCCAGTCTCAAAAACCCAGGGACTGACGCTGAACCACCAAAAGGCATGGCGGTGCATCTGAAGGCCATTTTTTCCTTGTGTTTTGGGGAGTAGGCTGCAACATAGGCAAAGGGTTCACTCTCCACAGCAACCGGGACCTGCTTGTAAGCTGATTTCAAATCAACCGTTTTGACACACAAGTTGGGCTTCAACCCCTCGCTCTTGCACCGCTGAAACATGTACATCATGGAGGAGCTGAGAACATCGATGGTATCCAGCACCGACTTTTCGTGGCACGTTGTAGTACTGTTTGTCAAAGAACACGAAAAATCATCAATGAGGCGGATCTTGCCCTTTTTCTGCTTTAGCGCAAACCGCCGGGCGAGAGGGTAGTCCTTGGGGATCTCGCCAATGCTCACGGGCGTGGTTATCCACCCTGCAGCTTCTTCTTCTTCAGTCTTTTGCCACATGGCTTCATCTAATTCTTTGTCATCTGACGGGCCAACGTGTTTCAAGTTCGCGTGATTGACAGCTGGGGCGATCTTTCTCAGCGCCTCTGGTGTTAGAGTGGCTGGCCTGAGCTTCTGAGGGAAAACATTTGACTTCTCTATGTCCCCGTGTAGTTTGACCCCATCCCTCAACAGCTTCCACACATCCCTGTCGGGGTAGTCCAGGTCATGCAAGATTTCTTTGAAAAGGAGAATGCGCTTGGTTTCAACAACCCTTTTGATCTCGGGGTCCATCTTCGATTTCATGTCCGCTTCGTCTTCTTGAAGAGCCCGAGCACGCGCCACCCATTTCTTGAACCAGGCCGCCCTAGATTCAACAATCTCTGCATCAGTGGCCTCAATGCTGAAATCTATTGCACGCCGAAGGGGTTCTGGAAGAAAAGCCGATCTACACCTGGGATGGCCTTTTTCGAGGGTCTCTTTGAAGAACTCAATCTTCCCGAAAGGGATTCCCCAAGCCTGTTCACATGGGCGGCTGTCGTCCTCACACTGACTCTCCCCTTTTTTAACAGTGTGGCGTAACAACTGGGCTCCCTCCGGCAAAACAACAAACGTCGCATCACTGCACACCACGTCTGACTGTAATGGCCATTGCGATTCAAGCCGGCGACGTACTGTGCTGGCAGGAAGAGAACCTGAGGGGCCAAAGATTGTAACAACCTGCTTGAACTCTGGCACAAGACGTGGAAGCTTGGACTGCTTGACAGGCTCGTGCATCATGACTCTCACGGCTTGCAAAAAGTCCCTAGAGGAGATTGACAACTCATGGAGCGAAGAAGGCGGCATTGTGATCCCATCATGCTGCGCGCATTTGAGAAAACAACGGACTAATGCTTTGCAGAGTCCCGGGGGGTATTGTGCCTCCAAACTGGTAGCCCACTGTCCGCTGGATTTTCCCCAGGCCAAATGCTCATGGTCTCCCGGACAAACACCATTGATTCCATGGAAAACTTCACGGTTGAATGCCAAAGTTGTCTGCTTCGGCCGACGACCGCCGTAGGCACACGCGTGATGCGCCTGGTACCCCATCTCACGTGAGCAAGTCAAGGTGGTCCAAAAGGTAGAGAGCCAAAAGAGTGAATTAGACGGATTCTCTACCACAGCAGGTTTCCCAAGCGCAGTAGCTTTCTCCACCACATCTTTCACGAACGCGAAAATTTTGTTGGCTTGGCCAACCCTTTGTCGATATTTTGGACTCAAAACATACATGCCATCCGGCTCTGCCGTGCTGCGTAAAGGGGGAGGTCCCCCACCAAATTCATGAGGAAGTCTGATGTTTCGCGCCGCTCTTGCCGTTCCACAAGGTGGAGCTAAAAGGACTCCTCGACACAACGGATTTTCCAACCATTCCAGAACTAAGGACTGGTCATCACTATTCGTCAAATCGAGGCAAACGATAGGGCCTTTGCAGCGCGAGGGTCGAACGTGATCGATACCAAACGAGTCCCGAAAACCTTCTAACCGCGCCGCTGCAGTGAAACCAGCTGTGCCCGCACAAAGCTCAAGCAAGAAACAAGACTCCAAGGAGCACTCTCGCATCTCGAAGTTCTCTCACTTCTTTGGGTGTTCTGAGTACATGTGGGGTTTGTAGCAACCAACGTGGCAGCACACATGACGCCCTTTAGCACAACGAGCTCCCGCTGCAGCATCCTGACATGTGCCCAAATTGAAGCCGTAGCAGATGGGGTTATTGTCTGCATCCACTGGGGACCCATTGTCAATCAATGCTCGGGGCATGCGCCAACCTTTTCCACCACCCTTTCCTCCTGTCTTTCCAGGCCCCTTTCCCTTCAGGTCCTTGTTGTCGAAGTATGGGGTGGAACGCCATTTGCTCCCGTCCTTGCCACCTCTATCGCCCTTTTTGCCTTCACCCTTTCCTTTCAAGGGTTGTGGGAGAAGAGAAGATGAAAAGCAACCTCCGAGCAACTGAGCGGGTCTTTAAAGAAGGAATCGAGAGGAAGATCTCCTGCGGCTGTGCGTGAGAAGCTGGTCACCTCTTTCATGGCTTTCTGGAAGGCCTCTTTATCCGCTCTGAGTACCTGTCCAAGTGAAGTCCTGCCATACCCCGGGGGTGGGTCTAAGCTCATACGATCCATGAGGCTTGCGAGATATTTCTCGTGGACTCGCCAAGACATCAAGTCCGCAAAATGAAATGCCAGGCCCCTCCTTTTCAAGGCATTGAGGTTCTCATACACACCGTGCGGGTCAATGTTCTGAAGGTCCCCCACATCCTTCACGCTTAAGCTCGTTCCCTCAATCTGCACCGTCTTCTTGGGTTTGAGGTGGGCAATCTCGAAAGATCGTGAGGGGCACCTTTCGGGGCCAATATACCGCAAAACCTTCGTGGAGACCATGTGGCACACTAGATCGAGAAGTGAATGAGCGGGTTCCAGACTTCCCTCCAATAACACGCCCTGTAGATCTTTTCGGAGCTTGTCCATGCGCGCATTTCTTTCCGCCATAGGAATTTGTTTTGGGATTGCTGTCTCCGAGGATGGCTCCTCTATACGGGCCTTCAATTGTTGGGTAACAAGAACGTGGGCCTCAAACAGAAGTTGTTTCAGTCCGGCCGTGTCCGCGGTAGACATGGCCGTGCCTTTGTTTACCCCCTTGGCGAAGGCCTCAAAGTCGCCCTGATTGATGGCTTGTCCAGGTTGCCCGTGCGCAAACGCTAGAGTTGACAGCTTTTTGACCCCATGCTCCACAAGGGCTTTGATGCTGCCTTCTGAAATGCCAATCTCTTCTGCTCTCTGCTTCAAGTAAGCTTCGCTTTCAAGAATGGTGGTCATGGCAACACTGACAGGTACAGGGACAAGCAAAACTTGACACAAAAAGCTGCTAAGACATAACGGGCTCCCTGCGCACATCCTCCAAGTTGCGACCTAGAGCGGTCGAAGAACTTCATGGGCAACGCACGCTCCACTCATTTTGACTCGACATCTGAAAATCAGCACACTCAACACATTCTCACTCAATTGCAGACACATGTTGCGCTTTGAAGCATCTTTGACATGTAATCCGCATTGCCGTCCTACGGTTATCTACTTTCACGTACTTCTCAGAATTCTCTTTGCCACATATGAACTTGTTCATGTCATACATGTTGTCACCGGTGTTGATGGCGTGGACGACCCCAGACTTTACGTGGGCGTAGTGGTGCTGCTCCTTGGTGTTTGCCTCGATCTTTCGCACCTTATTTCGGGGAACATCTTCGCTCGACGACGACATGCTGGTCGACTCTTCGCTTTCACTGGATCCCGACTCATCTTGCTCTTGCACTTCGACGCGAGAAGCGCCTTGCTCCGCAAGAGGAGCTTCAACTAGGTCTTCAGGGTCTTCTTTGTCTTTGACGTCTTCACATCGTTCTGTGAAGAGAGCAATTTCTTTATCGCCACTTGGCTCTTCGGAGTCTTCACGCACTTCAATGTCTTGACTTCGTTCTTTCGGAGGCTCTTTGCCCGACCTCACAAAGTAGCCCGACCTTGTGCGGTCTGGGTCGAAAATGTTTGTTCGGATCTGCTCCAAGACAAATTCGAACTGACGAAGAGGTTTTGCAATGAGCTCCCTAGCATAAACGTGCTTTGACCCCATGGTGACGTGCCTCCCAAGGATATCCTGATCAGGACTCGGTATGCCGAACTTAGCACACCACGATAAAGGAGAGCTTTTGAAGGAATGTGAAGACGCGCTAGGCGGAGTGAGAGGCTGCATGAGTCCTAGAATACGTCTCAGCCATTCTGTTGCCTCCTTTGCGACCACCGGCCGTTTCGTCCACTTTCCAACCTCTGCGAGGTCTGGCGCCGGGAGAAGCGGTCCATCGACAACACCTGTGGTTGGTAGATTTAACTTCTCACGCAAGGCCACCCAAGCTTTTGTCCAGGGCTCTTCTACAAGGCCTCTAGACGGCGCCACTATAGGTAAAAGCTTGCCTTTGACATCCGCGTTTTTTGCTGTTTTATGCCATCGAGTGGTGACTTCCAAGTACCCAACATGCTCATCATCAAAGTCCGGCAGGATCTCATGCACATGCCGAAAATCAGACCACCTGCTACGACTGTATATTGCATGTAGGAAATGGACTGCCCCCACACGGTCTATCACGCTTTGGCACTCATCCCACACAAAAATACGCAGCAACTTGACTTCGTTCACAGTTAAAAGGTCTGCGGGATCCCACGGCTCTTTGTTTGCAAGCATCTGCTCGGCTAGCCCACATACCTCCCGTGATTCGAATATGAAGGTCACATCGCGGAGCCCGAGGACGAAGTGAGAAAAACGCACAGCTTCAAGAAAGGCGCCGCCTGCACTTGCACCTGCACCTTCACTTTCCAAGTACGATAGATATTGCCATGCTTCGTCTCGTGATATAGGGAATCCAAAACCGCCCCGGTACTTTTTGTGCCACTGCAAGTATCTGAGCATGGAATTTGCACGCTTGTCAAGGGTAGCAGGGGATTTGAGGCCGAAGGTCGCGCTGAGGATCTTTCGGCTCCCTTCATACCTTGTAGATCTCTGAAACTCTTTGGACAAGGATGCCCCGATAGCAAAAGCATCAAAATTGTGACTTAGCAGGGTCATCCACTTGTCATAGCATTTCTCGAGCTTCCTGGCCCTCTCCTCCAGAAAATTTTCATTGCGAAAGGCGCTGATTGCGCTCACATACATGGGAAAATCTTGTAGAGCAACATGAGCCTGAGCACTGGTCTTCGAAGGCTGTGGGGTTGTGCTTGGAATTGCGAAACTCGGGACTGCAATCGAAGGAACATGAAATAATGCTTGCGACTCTTGACCGAAAAAATCCTTCATAGCATCCGTTTCCCATGGATAAAAAAGGTTCGTCGACTCGCCAGAGACTTCGTTCACAGCCCCTTGCAACATTCTGCGATACAAGCTCATGTCGGTCTGAGGGCCCGGAACTTGAGAACTCGAAGAACTGGCCATGGCTCCCCTCCGGAGCTAAAGTCACGTCTGGATTTTGGGAGCCTTACCCCCTGTACTTCTCAAAATCCTAAACCACAAGCATCATGGAAAAATCTGGCTTATTGTGCCATGATGTCTTGAAAAGAAATGTGCCATGACGTGTCATGTACCTTGAGCATGTGAACAAGACATGTCATGTTTGCTGGTCTCTGCTCAAAGGCTGGACAAAACCCAACAAAACAAAGCAACAAAACTTTCTTAGGATTGTGGCACGTGTAAAAGGTACTACTACTTTTACACTTAAGAAGAATTAAAGCTCTATCATTTCGTACCTCATGACGGAAGCTTCATTCGTCAAAGTTGTCAGCTATGAAGCCGGACAGCCAAAACCACTGCAATGACACCCCTTGATCTCATTCTTTTTCAAGAGCTGCACTGGAACGATGTCAGCATGATATCGGTGACATGCCTGCTGCAGCCCTCGAGAATTGAAATGCGACGACGAGCACTTTGCTTTCAGCGTTGAAGGTCCTGATTGGCCTTGCTGCAGTGTCGCAGAGTTTATAAGCGCCCCACGGGCTCAGCAAAGTTTGGGGGGCGGGACTGCAAGCATCTAGGATCTCACAATGGTGCTTCTGCCGATGCACAGTTTGCTAACAGCATTGTCAATTCCTACGCTCTCTGGACAGCAGATCATCGAGTCCATGGCCTTCCTCCCTTGCCCGTGCTAACCGGCGGGCCGAATAACGCAAGTTTAGATGCGCCGCGCAAGTTGATCGCAAACATTGTTGCAAGCACAAATTACAAGCAGCGCGGATTCCAAGGCAAATTCCAAAACGTCTGGTTCTGAATGTAAACCTAAAACAAATTACAAAAGCATGGACTCCAAAGCAAAGTCCTAAACGTTTGGTTTTGAATTTACACCTAACATAAACCTAAAACAAATTACACAAGCGTGGACTCCAAAGCAGATGCCAAAACGTCTGGTTCTGATTTTAAACCTGAAAAAACTAAAACAAACTACAAAAGTGTGGAAAAACCGGGCATATGCCGGGAACATGATTTGCAAGAACACCACTGCAACTCAGCTAAGCTGGTGACCTGATAGTGTTCAAGCTTTAGAAGGAACACAGCTGGAAACGACACCCTGCCTGGCAGGGCTGTGATGCTTTTGGACGCCGTCCGCAAGCTCATGGAGGCACAGCCTCATGAGTTGTGCTCGTTTTAGTGACAAAGTTTAGGCGCACCAGAAAATCAAGACGAGGGGCGGGAAGGTGTCCTCCGATTCGACCGCAATGTCGGTGGTCCACTCGTTGGCGCCCAGCCGCTCTGGGCTGTACACAACCTGACATTAAGTCGCTCCCTCTCTGTGAGTCGTTCTGTGGTTTAGGGTTTAGGGGCAAAAAGTTTAGGGTTTCTGCGCATCCCCGCTCGCGCGCACTTGAGGGCTTTTTGGCGCCTGCGCCTTTGTTGTCAAGGCGGTTTAGAGGCATTTTCAGGCCCTAGGGTGACATGTGTGCATTGGCAGGCATGTTCGAGAAAAATGCCTTGCAGTCTTACAGGCAAAAAAAGGCATTACAATGCGTTTAGAGGGCCCTGCAGGTAACAGCCACGTGGTTTCTCGAGGTGGTTTGGTGAAGGTTGCCCAGGTCTGGGCTAAAGATGTTTTAAAGGCGTTTAGCCTTGGCGGAAAGTGTCCCGAAAGTGATGCTTCTTTTGGGGTGCTCCGAACGTTGCGGAAAGTCACAACGTTCTTGTGCCACCGCCGCGCCAGCGCCACCAGTTCCAGATGGCCTCCCCAGCTTTGGGGCTGCCGCATGAGGCCTTGGATTGGGCCCTTCCGTCAACCCTAGTCTGATGTCGGCGACACGAAACGAAAGCCTTTATGCTCAGCCTCATATTCGCCTCGGCTCTTGGCCATGTGGTCAGAGTTCCCACCAACCCCGTGTTGACTGCCGCCCTAGGCCTATAGACCCCTGTCTGGGGAGTCTGTATGAAACCGATAGGCACGCACGCATAGGCCCCTCGTATAGGCTGGAAGACCCCTATGAAGACCCCTGTGCCTTTCCGAGAGGGGCTGATCACTGATCACACGACGCAAGTACGACCGCACCGTTTTCTTGGTGGATGATATTCTGGCAATGGCAAGATAAACTTCCGGCGCGAACACTTTTGGAACGAAAGCCTGCCGTAACAAATCCCGCCGCAACAAAGCGGCGCTTCTGCCCGTGTCTGCATGATGCTGGCAGGAAAATGCCTTCCGGAAGACAGCCGTTTTGTTTTTTTCTTTTTTTCTGGGAGGGGGCGGGGGGGGGGGGGTGGGGGGGGTGTGCCCGACATGGTGAGACAAAATGCCTGCAACCGGTTCTGCAAAGAAAACTCGCCGTGACTGCGCGGGCACTTCTACAGCGCCACTTTGTTTCGGCGAATTTTCCTTCCAGAAGTGCACACGCGCATGTAACTTCAACTTGCCATGTCATATTGAAACGGGAAGGAAAGCGCCACTTTGTTACGGCAGGCTTTCTTTTTAGCAGTGCTCGCGCCGGAATATCATCTTGCCATGTCGTAGAGGGCAGACAAGCGCCACTTTGTTCCGGCAGGCATTCGTTCCAGAAGTGCTCGCACTAGAAGTTTATCTTGCCATATCTTCCAGTGGTCCAGTAGTTGTAGAACTTGCTGGGGTTGGCTTTCCATTGAGCATCCACTCACTTGAATGCCAGCTGCAGCACAGCCGGGATGGCTTGTGAATATTGTAGAACTTGCTGGGGTTGGCTTTCCATTGAGCAGCCACTCACTTGAATGCCAGCTGCAGCACAGCCGGGATGGCTTGTGAATATTGTAGAACTTGCTGGGGTTGGCTTTCCATTGAGCAGCCACTCACTTGAATGCCAGCTGCAGCACAGCCGGGATGGCTTGTGAATATTGTAGAACTTGCTGGGGTTGGCTTTCCATTGAGCCGCTCACTTGAATGCCAGCTGCAGCACAGCCGGGATGGCTTGTGAATATTGTAGAACTTGCTGGGGTTGGCTTTCCATTGAGCAGCCGCTCACTTGAATGCCAGTTGCAGCACAGCCAGGATGGCTCGTGAATATTGTTGAACTTGCTGGGGTTGGCTTTCCATTGAGCAGCCGCTCACTTGACTGCCAGCTGTGGCGCAGCCGGCATGGGTTGGGAATATTGTTGAAGTACTGGATAGTTCAGTGGTTTGCGAGTGTCTGTGTGTGTGTGTGGGGATGTGTTGTTGATACGAAGGAGTAGTGAATATGTTTACATGAAAAAGCGCCGTTTTGGTTTCGGCGGGTTTGTGCTGGTTTGTGTAACGCAGCTTGCCAAACAATGTTGCGGCAAGTTTTCTTCCATCGTGCTCGCAGGTAATCTATCTTGCCATGCCGTACCCATGGCAGGATTTTTCCTCCAGCAATGCTCACGCAGACAGGGAGAAACGGAAGTGCCGCTGTGCTACGGCAGGCTTTCTGCCATAAGTGCTGGCGTTGTTTATGTATCCTTCCACGTGTTAGAGGAGGAAAAAACCGCCATCTTGTTGCGGCGAGTTGTCCTTCCAGAAGTGCACTCGCATGTATCTTTATCTTGCCATGTCATATTCAAAGGGGAAGGAAAGCGCCACTTTGTTACGGCAGGTCTTCCGTTTGTGCAGTGCTCGCATCGGAATATCATCTTGCCGTGTCGTAGGGGGGAAAAAAGCGCCGCTTTGTTACGGCAGGCTTTCGTTTCGGGTCTGCTTGTGCCAGAAGTTTATCTTGCCATATAATCCTGCAAAGAAACATTTTTTGCGGTGTGTGTGTGTGTGTGTGCTGCAGCCGCTCACTTGAACGCCAGCTGCAGCACAGCCGGGATGAGTTGTGAATATTGTAGAACTTGCTGGGGTTGGCTTTCCATTGAGCAGCCGCTCACTTGAATGCCAGCTGCAGCACAGCCGGGATGAGTTGTGAATATTGTAGAACTTGCTGGGGTTGGCTTTCCATTGAGCATCCGCTCACTTGAATGCCAGCTGCAGCACAGCCGGGATGGCTTGTGAATATTGTAGAACTTGCTGGGGTTGGCTTTCCATTGCGCAGCCGCTCACTTGAATGCCTCAATGGAAAGCCAACCGCGGCAGCTTCAACAAAAATCAAAAACCCTTCCCGGCTGCGCCAGTCTAGACTACGATCGTGTGACTCTTAAGCGACACTGCGCAAGATACATAATTAACTTGCTTTCATGTTGTTGGTTAGTTCTAATGTTCCACACTTGTTGCGAAATGCGATCTTGCACATTGAACGCATCTAAACCAAAGGGCTTTCCACACGGTGAACTGAACAGGCTTCATGAGGACGACTGGTTTCACACCTTCTTCTACTCCAGTACCTGACAAAAGGACTAAGCCAGAAAACACACGAAGCTGAGAAAGTAGGCTGGGCCCAGGCGGTCGGCTGAAGCGTTCAAAAGTCAAGAACCGCGACACGTAGTTTTAAACGAGACATGTTGCTGAGGTAGGCGTCAAAGTCAGCGACGCCAGCCTCGACACGGATAAAAAAGCGCTCCACGCCAAAACGGGACTCAGACGTAGCCCCAATGCCTCCTCAGCCACCAAGAAGGGCTCGAAATCACGGCGATGTTCCACCGTGAAATCGATGCAGCCGGCCCGCAGCTCTGCCTGCCCGAGTTTCGTTCAGCTCGCGAGTTTTTGCCCAATTCCTCCCCATGCGAGCGAGATGCGTGGCGGCCATCGTGCCCGTCGAGAAGCTCGCCCCAACTCAGCTGTGAGAGTTTTTCACCCACCAACGCCTAAATCAGTTGCTCTCCCCCCAAAACTTCTCATCAGAAGGCATGCTCCAAAACAATCTCTCCAAATTGATCTCCGATGCTTCGGCAACTGTTGATGACATGTAGAATTATCAGCGTGTCATGGGCAGGGAAAGGACCAAAACGCGCACACCTGACTGCAAGCATGGCCGCGACCGGAATAGGCAGGCCCCGTCACCGTCCACAACGTGGACGGAAAGGCCACGCCGCTTGCTCGT